CCCCGACGAGTTGCAATATAAATACAGAGCAGTGGGAGGCCAGGGAAGCTGGGACACATGACACTGCTGTGCTTTCAGGGTGAAAATTAAACCTTGAGATTCGAGCAACAATAGCGGAAAAAAAAATAATAATAACAATGAAAAAGCTCTGTGGATCCCTGACACCATTACAGGCCTGTCAGGTTGCATGTGTCAGCCATACTGGACGTCTAACAGCTACAAAAAACTGAGAAACACTTGCCATCTCACCTCTGCTAAATCATGTGAAAAACAGATGAGGTTTTGAGTGTAAGAAGACACTTCACTGCTGTTTACCATCACTGTTACGATGTTAACACGACCAATTTCCACATCTGGTTCAACTGAAAGACTAAGAGAGCTACTTGTCCTAAACTCTTTGTTTTTTGTGTAATAGATATGTTAATGTTTGCTTACTCAATATTGTGTCAGATGTTGCAAAAACCCTTCATGTTTCCATCCTATTCAAAACTGAATTTGAAAAGCAATATAGAAACTCAAATATTGCTTTATATTTCTGGCTCAGGATGGGATTTAAGATTTGTTTCATGTCTGGTTAAAGTGATGGACATGTTCACATTAAAAGTTAACATTCTTTGCACTTTTTCCATTTGAAGAGGCAGACGTGTTGTTTGACTTCTGGCAGGCGCCTGTGTGTTGGCATTATAATCACACACACAGAAAAGAAATGTGTTTCTGGAGTTTGTGTTTAAATCAAGAAAGTTGTTTTCCTCCACAACATTGAAAGCTGACATTTTGAAAGACTATTATGTTTAGATTTTTTAAAGTTAGGATAAATCTAGCTTTTAAGGGTCGCTGTGGCTCAGTTGGTAGAGTCGTCGTCTCTCAACCGGAAGGTCAAGGGTTCTATCCCCAGCTCCTGCAGCAACATATCCACTGTGTCCTTGAGCAAGACACTTAACGAATTCAAGCTGCTTCATCAGCGGCATGTGAATGCCTATGAATGGGATTACTCACAAAGCAACCACTGCCACCAGTGTGTGACTGGGTGAGATATGTACATGTGTATAATACAGTGTATGAGTACAGGATCCACATGTATTACTAAAGGGAGTGCATCACCAAATAATGACCCTGTCATGTAGACATTGGTCTAGTCTTGTTGTGATGATGATATAAAACTCAAAACTTTCTAAGTACACAGTCTGGCTCTAATGAACTAAGTATTAATGAGCTGAGGTTAATTTCTCAGGTTTATCTTGGCTGAACAGTAGCTCAAATTTGTCCAACCCGCACTGTGAATATTAATGGATGCACTTTAATTTGTCCTTGGATACACAGCATTTAAAAACAAAATTCACTTCCTACTCCAAATCCACCAGAACTGGAAGTACAAGATAAAGTCGGATGAATAATTATTTGGTAGTTTGTTGGTTCAGGATCTCAGCATGTTGCAGCCAATCGGCTCTATAACGCATCTCCCTGTATATCTTCTTAACGTAATCTACACCCTCCACTCCACAATTTACACACCAAATCTTACACTGTTATGGACCCAATCAATGGGCACGTCTGTGCACGTCTACAAACACACTGCCTGGTTGTCTGAGGACACGTTTTCAGTTTGCATTGATGTGAAATAAGGTCAGTTCTGTTTTTCAGTTTGGAGGAAACATATTTCTCTCCTCACTCTTCCTGTCACGCTTTCCTCACTCATGTACGTGGCTTGTGGGAACGATGAAGCGGCTGAAGGAGACCCAATTTCCCTTTGCTTCTTTATTACAACTTCTTCAAAAATCTTCCTCTCCCTTCAGTCTGATCCGTCATCCGTTTGTATTATCTTTTACAAAAAAAAAAAAAAGGCCTGGTCCTAAATCGTCTACACTGACATGGATATCATAATGTTTTTATCTTTCCATCTGCAATTTTTGTTCTTTTTTCCCCTAATTTATTCCAGAGCATTCAATCTGTAGCAGCTGCTCTCCCTCATTTCCCTTCATATCTGCCTCTCTCTTTATGCAACATTTGCTTAATCCTATTCTAAACAGTCTTTATATCATCCACACTGAAATCGAAAGGCAAACAAATACTCGCTTTCCTTCTGACTGATGTTGGCAACGGGTGAAATCCACTTTTGTCAGATAAAATCTCCTCCAAAGGAAAATTACTGCAGCAATGCAACTTGGAAAATTAATTACAGAACCATTAAATAAATCAGATGTAAGTGGATGTGAGGGAAAAATGTTTGGCTGTGAGATGAGATTGTACTTTCAAAGGCAGGAGTGGTTTTGTACAGGTTTTTGCAATAACGAAGTAAAGATTAGATCGTGTTGTCGCTCTTGAAGCTGTATGAGTTCTTTTTTCTCACCATATAAGAAAATCGACATATAGGCCGCCTCCAGGGCTCAGAAAAGATCCTGTGCTGTGTACACTTGACTCTGACTTTTCAGTATGTGTGGGGGGTTTTCTCCTGCATGAAACATAAGCTGTAGGAGTGTTTGGATGTTGAAGTCAAAAATGCCTCACACAGGCTTAAAAATTCTTCACTTTCTTTGACTCCAAATGATCCAAATTCCACCCCTGAATCATGCTCAGACCAGTTTGAAACACAGAATATAATATCTATTTCATTTAGAAGATAAATCTATTTTATAATCAAATCTACATCTCATATGGAATAGACCTAATGTGACATTTAGCTTCAGCCCACTAGAAAACAATAAATGATTTTTTTTTTGGCACAGGCCCAACTTACTGCCAACAAATTTCTCTGCTGCTGTGCCTGTAATAAAAAGTGAAACCCAGAATCAGTCAGCCAAACTTGCAGTGCAAAGTAAAGCTTGACCAAAACACCGACATGCTCATCGTGGCTAAAGCTAGCACAGTAGACCCCCTATTGTCTGCTCCACAACCTGAGAAGAATACTCTTTCACAGCTAGTTTGAGATTACATGGGCAACTCCGATCTAATAATAAGTGGCTAAATTTAATAAAAAGACTAGTTAAAGGGGCGCTGATTTAGCTCAGATGGCAGAGCTGAGTAGAAGTCCTATGCGCTGGTTGCTGGATTATCTCCTGGGACCGCTTGGTGCGTGTCTCATCCACTCTCTTCCCACATTTTCTGTCTCTCTGCCAATGAAGCCGAAGGCAAAAAAAAAAAAAAAAGTTTGGTTTTTGTTTGGGAATCAAACAAGACCTGGAGGCCCTCAGGAAGGATGTCAACATTTCCAGCTGGCCAGTACTGTGTGGTGATAGAGGCCTAGTCAACACACCATTCTGTTCAGTATCAAAGTGTTGGAGAGCTTTTCACCATATCAGGGCTCCAACATATGAAGAGTCAATTAAAGGACACAAGGGATAGTTTAAAGATAATCAAGAAGAGGACATTCCTGGTTTTATTTCAGGGTGATGCAACAAGACCTCACTCATAGACTCGTCTCCGTCTCCAAAAACTAAAACACAGCACTGACCGTAGACCCAAGACAGAGAAGCTGTACTTTGACTTTGATAAAGAGACTTTCTAAATGTGTCCTAGAAATAAGTCTGAGCTTTGGATCAACGTCAGATGCTAAGGATATTTTACTATATTTATACCACTTTTGGTTTTTTTGCTAGCCAATAATACATTAGTTTTCTTCTGGAGATTTATTGGACAACTAGCCTTGTTTTTTTTAGAAGGATAAAGATGGAAGAAGATAAATAATATATAAAAGTGGTACTTTAGATTTTTTTAACTTAATGTCATCTTTCAAAGAGCCACAGCATCTATTGGAAACCAGTAAAGCAGTAATTGATGCCCTTACTGTGTCATGAGATAGAGACCACCTTAAAGAACTAACCAATTGCAACAAGTTTGTATCATTAATGTGTGTCCGCTTTGAGAGCAACCTTTGCTGATTGCTTTGTTTGGCCTCCTGCCTAAAAGGAGAAAATGAGGGGGATAATGGAGCTTTATTGCTCACTGTTTAGCCGTTGATAAGTGTTAGTTTGCTTAATGGCAGCATTTATCGCTTATTTAATTACTGACACCATTTTAGACCGAGGTACAGTCAAGGTGCTGCGCTGCTTTGTTTCCTTTGGCATTGAGGACGAGGTCTCAAAGTTTCAATATTTCATGGTCAAACAATCTGCCAATTAATATATTCTTTTTGAAATTCATAAAGAATGAAAGAAACATACAGAAACTGGAGACTTTTTTCAGGTGGTATACATTTAACAATTAATAAAAGTGAGGTCATTGGATGTTAAAGCTTTATAATTGTTGATCTAATATATAGACCAATTGAATCTAATCAACGTTCACTATAGCAGAAGATTATTTAACAACACTAGAAGATCTTTATATTCCTAAAGAGTCAGAATGTCCTCGCTTTGCCCTCGCAAAAAATGTCCTCGCTTCATGACTAATCAAATGGTCATGATTTTATTTCCATTTTACAGGTCTGTGATCTTTTTGTACAATACAAGCTAAATATGGATTTGGGTTTCATACATACAATATAATACACATCTTTGAATAGACTTTTGATCTTTTTGTTCATGCTACACAAACAGAACAAAGGAGATCAATTAATAAAAGGCATTGTTTATATGAAACAATGTACAATGTATTTGTACCTGCTCAATAAACTTCTAAACAAACAATAACCTTAATTTGGACTGATAACAAAAAAGATATTTCTGGAAAAACTTGCTGTGCCTTTTTTGGTTCTGTGGATGGTATCGTTTTTCACCCAGTCAGATAGACCAGTTTAAAAAAAAATAATATGTTCAGAACATTGTTATCATTGTCAGTCAGCTTTGTTGGTTTGTCCAGGTGTTCATTTTGCAGAGACAGAGATGCTCAGCACTTTGGCTCAAGTTCATTAGAAAAGGTGCTTTAAGGCTGAAATAACATAAAGAGATGTTCAGCTGCAGTAGAACGAATACAGGAGAAAATACCTTCATGACACTGTAGTTTATAGTTTTTATATTTTCAAAAACATGGACTACATGTAGAATATAAGAAGAAAATATACATACTTTTTGAAGTGGGGCTTCCAGGGATGAAGGTGCTGCAGCACCATTTGCACAACCTGATTCCTTCAAAGCGTGCAAACTGTATCCTCTCTCTCTGTCGACATGTAGTCCATAAACTCTGGGAAGTGGATACAGAAGTCGATGTTCTCTCTTCTCCCTGGAACAGATCTTTTCTCTGCTTTTTTTCAGGGTTCAGCCTCAAAGTTGATTAGTCGTCAGTGCTGACTAAAGCTCAGCTCTCTGTGGAGAAAGATAGTGACAGAAAGATAAGGGATCAAATCGGACCATGAGTGCCAATCAAAAGTCACATTTCCTGATGAAACTGTAAATGCATTACTGATGTTTCTGCATGACTTTGCCTGTCTGTTTTCACAATATGTCATAATGTATATTCCAGTTTGGATGGTTATTGCTTTTCTTAATCGACTCTTGATTAAGGGATTCAATGATTTATTCTTCATCAACCAAACTTTCATTCCATTAATTCCAAATGAATCAGATATGCAATTACAACAACTGTCTCCATTTACTCAAAAATGAATAAAAAATATCTCATTCTGTTTAAATTGTTATATTACTAATTATAAAAATAAAGGATCAGCGAACTTTCCAAACCCATTCCTTCGCCTTGATTTATGCTATTCTACGATTTTTTCCGCTAAGTTGGTGATTGCATCCCTGTGATATTCATTAGGCTGTTGAAGAAAACCAAGTTCAAAGAAATGGTCAAAATTGACATAAATCTAAGTTATAATATGCTGATTTAAATCTTTCCAACATATCATCATATGTGTAACTCACAAAACTGCACTTGTTCCCTCCCACAGCTCCCCAACAATCCCTCTTTGCAGAATATGTCACAAACTGGAAGAGAAAGAAAAATGTTGAAAGACATCTCAAGCTCCTAACTACCAACCACCACCGCCCATCTCTCTTGTTTTCTCAGACGAGGCCCTAAAACTCTGCCAGCAGCCGCCTCCACCCTATCACTGTCCCTGACTTTACATGGATACTGATGGGGTCTCTCGCTCGCTCGCTCTATCTCTCGCTCGCTCGCTCTATCTCTCTCTCTCTCTCTCTGCTAACACCGCCTGCTCTGTGACACGAGACAGCGCGCCATCTTCCTTTGAGTCACTTCAGCTTACTCCTCTTGTCATGAAACCAAACCTCATCTGATCAGACAGATAAAACCACAGAGCAGTGTTGCTCCTTTAACAGTTATTCCTCTTCAATTCTTCAACATGCCGCCTCCATTGCACTCTGCAAAAATCTTTGACAGAACACACATCCCTACAAAGAGCCCCTGTGTCTTTTTATGCATCATTTTTTTGCAACCTTGGCTCAAAATACATCTTTCAACAGCTCAGTCATTTTCCAAAAGGTATCCGCAACCCTTCATGTAATTGTATTTTTTTTATGTGTGACACCGAAGCCCCCCTCCCCCTAAGAGACATCTGAGAAAGAAAACTCCATCTGCACTTTATATTAAACCATTTATAATATATTCTAAATATTTATTAGAAATTCATGTTTGCAATGTCTTAATAAATGAACAGAAGAAAATAACTGTTTACATCAACACTACAGAAAACGGAAGACCTGATGATTTATCTGACAAATATGAAGTTATAAGAAGCGTCCATTTCGCATACATTTCCATGCAATTAAGCTCTTCAACGATCTTGGCTTCATTAAACGTATGCCTGATTAGCTACCAGCAGTATCTGTTTGCAATAATTCAAAGATTCAAAGTCCAGTATCACTGAATTACTTTTATACTGAAATAAAGAATAAAATGCGGATTCTTCGAAAAGTTCAAAGTTAGAATACCATGATTTTAGACATTTTTTGAAATGAACATTGGAAATAATGATATCCCCAGTGAGTGTATGTCACACTGAATATTAAACCATGTGAATAATGTCTGTGCTCAGATTTGAGATGGTCATGACTCAGAACAAGTGCAACTTTTGACACTAATTGCAAAAATCATGTTTAGAATCTTAATTGCCTCCATCAGCTGTCTTGTAGTGCCACTGCTGCTCTTTCAACTGGTGATATACATGCCAAAAGAACAGGTCAAACTCACTTTTTGAGTGCACCTGCAGCTTTCACCCTATGCAGTATTTTTTTTTTTTTTTTATCCATGCACCCCTTTTAAGTCTCCCTCGCCCCTTAGGAGCAATTTAGTCTACAAAACCTCTGATGTAGATACAAATGTTGGATACTTTATTTTCATTAAACTGGAACTGGGTTCAGCAGGTGCCTGACAGACATTGCATCTTACATATTATTTAATTCCAGGGTACCAGCATGTATGAATGGGTTATAATTAAACAATTAAACTGGGTCAAATTCAATTGACACTCAGGTACAATACAAGTCCCTTTTACTTTTCTTAAAGCTATATATCAGTAAGACTTTATAAAACTGTAACAGCTAGAAACAATCATATTAGGTAAAGAAAAGTTTTGTTTTCAGAATACATGAAAGGTGGTGCCAGGATAGCTAAAATGGACAAGTTCATCACTCATCCCACCTACAATCGATGCATTTAGGAAAAAATATGTTACAGCTATCATCAGATTGCATCCTCCTTCTAAGGAGGTCTAACAAGGCCAATCCACCTGCTTAGTTTAGGCACACCAAACTCCTTGGCTCTGTCACCACATCCCATAATTCCTCTTCTCATTGCAGTGACACTTATCTGACCTTTGATTCCCAGCTCTGACACACAGGTCAGGCTGCATATCTTCAATTTTCTTGCTAAAATCTCCAACTGGAGTCCTGCCAAACCACCTCCCAATTGACCTTGACAAGACTGAGCAGCTGTTCACCTCTCAGAAATGCTGCCTTTAACAAGAGCCGTCAATCAGAATGACACCTGAACGGTCGCTGCTGCTAACACCGCCGTTTAGTTTGACTTTAGACAACCAATGCTACAGCTGCTGTTGCAGGTCTTCTGTGCATGAAATCTGCTGACTCAGACACAGTTGCTTGTGCAGACTGTCTTTGTCCCCCATCTGGACTGCTGCATCTGTTATCTGGCTAAATAACCTGAAAATAACTGCAACAAGACAGTTGTCGAACTAAACGTCAAACAAATTGGTTTTGTTTTTCTATTACTGCCCGCAAGGTTTAATGTATGCATGGATGTTGAATTCACGGATGAGGATTTAAAAATTGTTGACGTCCAGTAGGCTACTTGCCAGTGTCAACATTATTTAATTTACAATTCTTGTAATGAAAAGTCTTAAAAAAGGCATTCAGTCAGGGTCAAAGGTTTCTACATGGAGGGTTCATGTGCACGTAGTGGATCGGTGCTCCTTGAAACTTTAGTTTTTGGTTATACTCATATAGTTATAATGGTTCACAATATATTGTACTGCTGTCTAAAACGTATTTGCATATCACATTATTGATCAGAGGGTGCTATCCCAATTGTTGTTGAATTGTTGTCTTACACGTCAGTAAAATGACAATAAGGCTTCATATTGGTATTAATGTTGATAAAATTAAGAACCAGATGGAAATGTCTAAATGGAAATGTATTAATCTAATTAATTATGCATCAATTTGCTCATACATTTTCAAGCTTCATCCTTTCCTTTGTTCTTTAACACGATACAACAGGATAAAGGGGGAAATCTAAGAGCTAACGGGTAACAGGTTTATTGATTTTCCTTCCGACATTGAGGTTTAATAAACAGGGCTAGGCTAACGCTTGTGAATGTAGCCAAAAGTAAATATGAAGCTACAGCCGCTAATTAGCCTGGGTCAAAATTAAGGCTGGAAGCAGTGAAAAACAGCTCACCGTTAATACTTCAACATCATACACTGACATGTTGATAATACACAAATACAGTAAGAGAGATGTTAGCACATTTATTTTTTAACTAGAAACACAACTTGCCACTTTTTTTCCAGTCTCCCTTCTAAGCTAACTCTCCTCTAGTTTAACAAACGTGAGACTAGTATCAATATTCATGACAGTTCACATCATTTTGTGCATATTATTTATTAATGCTGACTTGTTTAGTTATTTAATGATTATGAATATTCATGTTAGTCAATGTTTAGCTTCTCTCTGTCAACAGTTTAATAGACATTTACTAACGCCTCCCAAAATGTTTTATTACAATGATGTATCTATTTGTTTAACATGTTAATGAACAGACGTGTTACTTAGTCAATTTGTTGATTTAGAGCGTTGTTCCCCTGTTTTAGAGAGCAGCTGGAGTTTCACGCAACCTGTATGAACACAATACTTTACCAAGTTTCAACACTCAAATGTAAAGTAACATTAATAATTAGAAAAAACATTTTTTTAAATACAGTGTACAGTAGCAGCAAAACCAACTCTGCACATGATATCATGCAGGGGGACGTGAGGTGAAAAAAATAGTTTTCTTAGGATTCTATCTGAATTTCTGCCCTTAAATATGTTTTAATGTATACAACTTCTGAATACATTGCTTTCCAAATGATCATTTCTATTATATTCTAAATAGATTCTGTAAGAAGTTCATCCAAAAACTACTTGCACTTTTACCCACATGGTCTTTTAATTATTTATACATGATTTTGGCTTTCAACAAAAACCTAAATCTTAACTGTTAATTGAAGCTATAATCTGTATGTCATGCTTTGAAACATGACCATCTGTTTTGCCTGCAAATTATCTTTTGTTTATGACGAGGCTCTTGATTTGCATACATAAATCTGTTTCTGTATTTCATTTTTACATTATTGTTACCAAGTGAGTGTAAATAAAAGATTTTGACATGTTTAAGTTTTCAACTTTTCACATCACTGTGATTTCACAGGTGATGGACAGCCAAAGTGCAGGACTTGGAGCTGAACTGATTTGACAACCCCCCCCACTCCCTCACACACACACACACACACACACACACACACACACACACACACACACACACACACACACAAACTCACTCCTCTCACACACCCTGCGCTGTGCTCAGACTTTCAATGCAGCTACACATAATGTCTATTCACTGACGGGGATGTGTTAGGCAGCAACGGCACTGGGACGACAGAGATGGCAGATAATTGAGAACAAAACACACAGAGCGAGAAAAAATCCACATGAACAGTTAGCTTGGACCTTTTTTTTCCCTCTTCGTCTTTGTCCCTGAAGTTATTCTCCTTCTTTTCTTATAAAGAGCTTTGCTGTTTGACTTTTTCCTCCGAGGCCCATCTCAATGACAACTGAAAGA